CACTGCGATATGCTTGAAAACGTTCTCTTAGGTAATTCACCTGGAAGTGATTGGGAGGCAATCTGAAATTAAATCACTTTATCTAAATACAGCGACTGACCGAAAATCCAAATTCTGGCTTTACGAAGAAGGATAAGCGAATATGCCAACGAACAACGTATTAAGAGGACTGTAGACAAGCATTGCTAGAAAAAAAGTAAATTGTAGAAACTACGTCCGTGTCAAAAATGCGAAGGACTTGGTTCCCTTCTATGTACTGTGGTCATGAATCCCACATTAACAATTAGTCAGCCTGCGTGAGACGTGCTCAAGATAGTTCCCTGTAGACGAAATTTCCGGAGTTAGATTATTTAGTTTCTATTCACTTCTTCCGTATACATTCTCATTCAGAGACCTGACTGTCAGTTGGATGCATTACTCTTAGATATACTGGCACACTAAACGAAAGCCGCGGTAAAAGGTTGAGCCCCAATGTCAGTTTTGGACATTTTTTTGCATTCCCGACTAAGTAGAATCTCCACAGATCATCGGTTGTAGTGTCATTCGAGCCCACAGATCCCCTGTCGACAGCAGATATTAAGGTACACTCACAAGTATCGTTTTCGTTGGAGTCTCCTGGTGCTACAAGGTGTTTAAAATATCCCTCTGTCAACCAGTTCGACTACCCTCTCTAAGCTCAAAACTTTGCATTATACGCCAGAAATAACCCTTAAAGGTTGCAACAGAATAGTGCTAAGAGCCATACTCACAGCAACGTTGCCTCGTTACAGTTCTCAAATGATATTTAGTCACATTGAAGACAAAGAGATCGGCTTTTGTAAAGAACCCTAATTTACACCTGGATACTTTAATTGGCAGGTCTCAAATTTATTTCAAAACCGCAAGTATTTTATACAAAAACTATGGTTTTGAATTTGAAGATTTCCGACATTACATGAAAAATTTGGTCATTCAAGGTTCCCTTTGTGCCTGCCATTGTCAAGCAGTTGCATTTGGTTACCTATGAAGCATAACTTTCGATGACAAACTGAAATTCATTTGAAGTGTCCAGTAGTCTGAGCTAATTGACACAAAAGCAACCTTGCTGGCTCTGAAGTCACTGCTTCAAAGTTTGACCCCGTCCTCATCGATACGAAAAGACCATGATCACGTTGACTTTCATTAGTGTTTTCATCCACCGCCATGACACCGTCCTGTTGTATAATATTAATGCTGAAAAGCGGTCATCGAGTTTTTGAATAACAAGTTCAACATTGTGGCTCTTGTTGAGAAATCTTGTTACCTTGGAACACAAATCAGATCAAACTGGCTCCTAATTCCTGCTCAAATCATGGAAACAAGTTTTATTCGAACAGATGCACGTCACCCAAAGTCAAACTGTACAGCCGAACGTTTTCATCATTAACAGAAGTCCACTTATACCTTTCAGGGTGACTCACTATGCTTGACAGAAGCCTAACCCTTCAGACTGCTCAAAATACAGAGCATTCTATGATAAAATTGTTTTTAAACGTTACTAACGTTTCTGTGATAGTTCCATGCCCCCAAAAACCGAACCGTCTTGACCGTGTGTGTGTGGGGTTTGCATGCACTTACTTACAACCCTGCTATTTAACAATCTGTGACATCCCAAGATCAGAGGCATGACGCGTACAAGCAGAAACTTGTGGCTAAACGAGCACCCTTGCGTGAGTAGGCGTAACGTACACAGGGTCCGTTGTGAACGGTGAGCAATGAAAAACAGGAGTGAGTCATCATAACCTATCAACTCATGAACAGGCACTACTCACACGCCCACTGAGTAACACCAACTTGTCTATTTGCCCTATGAGGACTCAAACAAAGCCAAGGATTTGCTCCAAGTGCACCTGACTCTATAATGTTTGTGATCGTATGTCAATTGGGACTTGTATAAGCAGCTTCATTTGGCAATTTTTGTCACTTCTATCCAATCGCTGAATCCCAAGCACCAATAATCTTTACGCCTGACGAGTTAATCATCCGTCAAATCAGTCTTGATTCATCATTCTTGATTTCTATACGCAACAAAGAAAATTAACACTGCATCTCAAGTGCTCATTATTAGGTTTTTAAAATTGGCTACGCTGTTGCCTCATTAAAAGCATTCTGTCGCGTTCTAACCGTTAATCAAATAAATACACGAACCTAATATAGTCGACGCAGGAATAACTTGACTACCATATTTTTGGGGAAATTTTCATTATTAAACACCATGTAGTTACTATGTGCTAATGACCTCATCCAACAATTCAGCATTACTTTATACAACCTTCCACACAAATTATTTTTTGTGTGTTTAATTTCTCTTAGCTGTCACTGCGTGAGTGTTCGCTGCTCCTGAAAGCGAATTCAAACGTAATTTTGCGCATATCTGTCGATAACACGAAAAGGACAGCATTGTTCACGTCGCGGTCATTTGAGGTCATATTTGATCCAACCTCTGGAAACTTAACAGTAGTAAAATCAAGGAGCTCTTGAAGACCCAGGGAGGTTTAAGACCCACGACCTAAGCTGTCATGACCCGACCAGGAAAGAAAGGAGATCGCAGATAACGCATAGCGAAACAGATTTATTATTTCGGTAATAGCGTGATTGTACAACGTAATAGGTCTTCAGTTTATAAAGGGTCGGCTGACTTCGACTTCTAAGTAAACAAAGCTACTTGAAATGCTTTCAAATAAATCGACGTAATTAGTGGTTTCGAACTCTCGCTAAAAATGTTCGCTCACTGATTGTCAAAGAGTTTTCAGGTGGCTGTGAGATCTGAGGCAAACACAAGAGAATCTAAATTGATTTTCTTCGGCACCTGCATGATCCTACTTAAATTATTCTTAAAAGTGCATTACAGTGCAAAAGGAAATGACATAAACAGCAGCTTTTGCTCTAAGGTAAAATTTTAACTTACAGTGCAATGACATTTAAATATTTTTCTCATTAATTTAAGAAATATTTGTCCTTATGTCTTGCACCATATCAACACAGTTAACAAATGTAACTATATTCATCTCAAATAACGACACCGTTCCATATAAACTACTTGGTAGATACACTGGAGCATTACCGTCTTTAGCACAGTATTTTACATGTCACTTCTTACCTAGCGGATGAGCAAAATGTTTAGTCCATTTGTGTTATCGTAATCTAGTACCATAAATATTAAGGAATATTGAAGTGCGTAAAGTTGATGCACTTTTAATTAAAACCGAAATTGTAAATTTGCTTTATTCCTAAATAAGTGTCACACATGTACAAGATTGTCAAAACTTAGTTTAGAACGTACCTACTTAATATATGTTTAATAAAAATTAGGCGTGAAAAACGTTTGTCACAAAATGGACTTGGTGCATTTAAGATGTGGTCGCTCTCATTGAATACTAAAATAAATACGATTATAAAAAGCACTCATATTATTTTATAGTACTTTAAATCCACAACGGATAAATTACAAAGTCTCTCGAGTATTTACTGAAATTAGGTCCTCTTAATATATCCCAAACTTCATTCCTAAATAAAGGCAGCACATAAAGAAATTCCACCTTTTCTCTTCCATCTAACTCACCATATACGACGGTACTGTTCCGGAAACTAATAACTATTTGTGACCAAATTTTCAGGTCTTTGGTTATTAATGTGGGAACACTAAATAGATTTGGATGAGCCTCCAGCCTGACAAATTTGCTAATGCAATCATATATGTGTAAACTGTATCCACTGCTGTCAAAATTGCCATATTTTTAATCCTGGGTCTCTTAGAATGAGAGTGCTAGTGTCATGAAAGACATGTTTTAATGACTGACCTACTTGAGCAAGGCCGAAATTGAAGATCGATGTTCTGTGAATCGCAACGCAAGGTATTGTCATTCCATTACTTAAATGGTTGATTTATCTTTGCACATTTGGCAAGGACTTAGGAACAAAAGTAAATAAAAATTAAAAGTAAAACGGGTATAACTTGTATCAAGAACAAAAATTATCTCTAATATGAATTAAAGTTCCAAGCCGTCTAAACATGCACTACTGCAATCTGGATTACTGCGTCTGAATTTAAATATCATTCACAAATACGACCTTGCCCATATATAAGGTTGCCGTGCATGTGTATCATTTGTTTTTCGCTCCCTTTAGTTGTCACTTAAAAATATAAAACTATGAAGCTTTTTTGTATCTGCCATTAGATTTACCATATTCAATATTACCCAGAACCAGGCCCTCATTCGTTGATCAAGGTACGGGTCAGCCTTGACATGACAGCTTTAACCTATGAATACATTTTCCAGACGACGGCTGTTACGGTCTATTGCAATTGGTTAACAATATGTGTTCAGTGAAATGCATTATGTGTCTTATTGGAATTTTTTCGATAGTAATACCTAATTATGTGCTTCATTTTGTAGATAAACATTGCATTATTTCTTGTATCCGGTGTGTATTTGCGTGAATTTCATTCACCAGAATGGGAGCTTTTCAATTTAAAAAATGTGCATATGATCGCTTATTCGTTTTTGGGGGCGTCATCTCTTTTTTTTGTTACGTTGGTGGCCTCCTGTTGCTTTTTATGTTCAAAAACTGGACAACCATGCTGCATATTGGTATAAAATTTGACATTAATGTAACCTTTTAGGTAATGCTTACAACGTGTGTCGGTATTGTCGTGTTATTTTGCCTAGGCGCTTTGGTTGTTCATAAGGATTGGGTAAGTAACGCATTATACTTTGCAGTATGGAAATTTAGGGATGTGTTCACTGAAAAGAAACAATGTCTTAGGTGGTTTAATTCATGTGCTCTTCATTCGCCCTATTACTCATTTGATCATAGACGTCTGGCTACAATATAAACGAAAATTTTATACCTTCTAGTTAAATTAGGACAATGTTAAATCGAATTTCAGTTTCAAAATCATAGTATATGTAATTGTGACCGCAGCCTTATCTAGTCATTCGTCATATTTCTCCCAGATATTAACCCATGCAGCTGACGCCATGGATAATCGGATTAAGGAGGAATACGGCTTCGATTCTCGACTTACAAACATTCTGGATGACCTTCAAATTGAGGTAAGTCGAATGCCTTAGTAATTTTTTTGAGACTAATGCCAGTTATTCGGGTTAGCACCGGAGGTTTCTACAATAGTACTAATATGACGACGAAACCTTCTGAGATAATTTTATTTAGTTCATATTATACCTTATGTACTGAAAACATGCATTTCTGAGTCTCCATTTATTATAACATGTTCCAAGCGGTTATTTGAACTTATGCTGTGCAACTTGCTTGGCTGCCTTCCAAGAGTCACTGCCAGAACTAACAACTCTTTTCAAGTTAATCTCACTTTAAAGACTCCAATTTTGAATTCTGGATCGATTTAAGAGGCATTGACGTTCTTCAGTATGGCTGCTGTGGCGGATCGAACTTCTCCGTTTACAATGCCTCGAGGTGGGCAAACGAGGAGAGCAGAATTTCCGCGAGGAACGGACCGGTGCCTGACTCCTGCTGCATCAGAAACAGGACAGGAGAAATTGCCTCCACCTTTTCTTGCCATGGTGTTGATTTGATCTCGGCGGACTCGATCTATGTTCGCGTGAGTTTAGCTTGTATCGACTAGGATACATGGACTTCGTGAGTACAAATATGGTGCATTTTAGACAATCTGTCATGGCATTTCACAAGGCAATTCGAACTAAACCAAAAGCTTGGTTATTGTTTGAGTCAAAATCGCATTTTTAAGTGTTTTAAATGAATAGTTACATTGTATGCTAATTAATTTAACGAATGATGTGTGTTCTTTCAATTACGCATACGATTCAACAGTGTCCTCAGAGCTGCCAAAGTACAGTGGAATAGCACGAAAACAATTCTTTTTCTTGAGTGATGGTCTAATTACCATCTGATTGCTATTATTCATTCTACTTTTGGTTTTGCTTGACCCATCAGAACAAACAAAAGTTTAGTCCATGCAGTAAGTTTGATATATCCATTTATTTGCCAGCTTTCTTTAATTGTCTGTGTCCGTCAGAACATTTGCTCGTTCATGTGTCAACTATTCTGGCCGATGGCCTCTCACCAATGAACTTGAATGCCAGAAATTCAGTGTGTATGTCGATCTTTAAACCAACTATTGGAAGACTTAGAGAGATGACCATCGTTATGCTAATGACCTGGGCTATATATCATAAATGTATTGCGGCACTACGGTCCAGTTTTGGGGGTTATGTTGTCTCCACAGAAAAATGTGTTCCGGCATCAACATAGTAGAACCCAGATCCCTTTCTCCGAGACAACCTTCTCCTTTCTATCAATTTCTGCTACTGGTTTTCCTAATTGTCACCAATCATTAGTGAAATCTGCAGTACAGTTTCGCGAAGATTTACTGACTTGTCTTGGCAAAAACAAACTTTCATAGTCGTCCATGATTAGTTGCACTATCTGCAATACTGATTTTAACAAATTCACCTTAGTAACTGCTCAACTACGTATTAGCTACTAAAGGTACGCAAATGTATCATACAAACCTGGTGTGTAGTGGGCTGATACACCTAGTTTATTATACTTTGTTGTTCTAGCATTTATCTTGAACAATCCTGATAAGCATACCCTAGGTGAGCCAGAACTGTTAAGCCTAATTCTTTTGCGATATTTTCTGAAAGATGTCAGAAAGCTGACTTGACGGGAAAAAAATTTAACCCATGGATCGTAGGGCATGGTAAGAAAATCTTCAGATGCCTGGCTGCCCACTAGGCAACCAGTGACACCTCCACGTTCCTAGTTGGCATGTGCTTCAGGAGCTTTCCCTTTTACATCATTTTGAGGTGATTTATTATTGAAAATTATGCAACTTACTGCCTTCCATTATCTAAAAGTTAATTTAGCTAGTCTTACAGGAAAGTGGAGTTGTGTGTATATCATTGGAGAATGCACAACCCTTCCCTTACCTTTCCTTACTAAAGTAGATCAAAACAATAGTCTAGTTTTAAAAGTTTTCTCTCTTGTGTGCAACCAGGCTAAGAGGAGCTATGTGGAGAAGGACTGGAATTGAGGTGGACACTGGTGTTGCCTGGTTTAGGTGGTTGTATCCCAGTCATTTCCCACTGTGCAGGATAGTTGTCCATTTATTTTACCACTTCACGCAGTTGGTTCCGGCGCTACACGTGCCAGCAAGGCTTTGCTGTCCGATTCTGTAATTTTTCATCCAAATGCTTCGTTTCCTGTGTGCGGTTAATTGGCCGCCCTTTCTAACCTTCTTTAGCACTGCTGGCGCACTCCTTACCAAGTTTTTTCGCTTGGTATTAAAAGACACCAAACTCAATCGCTAGCTTTTTTGTGACTCGAGTGCCTCTCAGGTATGCAAAGCGCATGACAGTAACGAGTAAGCGTAGTGAATTTCTTTTATCCTCGTAGTATACCCCTTGTAACTTATTCTAGGGCTGCTTCAGTGTTATAGAAGAGGGGGCTGATTCAATTCTACGTGGCATCGCCGGCGCCTCCTTCTGTCTCGGCACCATATGGGTAAGTGGAAGTCTCTTCATCTCAACTAAGTACACTGTAGTATCATCATGTCAAGATGATTAACAGCAGTAACGACTAGTAAACCGCACATATTTTACCCAAATGTGTGAGCAATGGGTCTGAAATCTTAGCCCTAATCATTTTTTCTAGTAGCCCAACAACTGTGGAAAGGAAATGTATCGATTTCTTACTGATGTCCTACAACCTAGGTATGGTCACAAATTTGGCCTTCAAGAGTCACATCCGTGGTTTTAAAACCAAGCCTTTAGCCCTGAATAGTCTTGCTAAAATCAAGCCAAACCGAAGAAGTAGGTTGTCACACTGCGACATTCGTTTTCATTACAGTATATTCTACACAATGAGTTTTTCGAACACTTGATTCCTCTTTTTATTCTAACTTCAGAACTGTTGATATTTTGTGCTCGTTTCCGTTAGTTTGAAACTAATGCCAACCTGTGATGTGATGTTCATCGTTAATTTGCTGGTGTCAATGCTCGTCATTCTGTGGATTTAGTTGGCGTCCCGCTCTTGATACTGCATCTAGGTGGCTTCATAATAAGTGCCTTCTGTTTTGCACATTTTTAGCTTCTGATAGTGATATTGGTTGTGATTGCTTGCTGGAGACACTGAGCCCGCGAATCCGCTTTCTCCGAGTGAACCTTTTCCCAATATTTCCTTAAATCACTTCTCTCCTTCTATACTTATGTCATTTTGAGCTATTATACATTAGTACTTACAACATATGTACATTTTTGTTTGAATTGCGTGGATTTTTTTGTAGCACTTTGCCATAGACAAGCGTAATATTTGAACATGAAATCGCCCAGAAAAAGTGCATTTCCCAGCTTACGAGAGATCACAGGAGTTTCGAAAGGTATTACACCTCAAAGCGTGCAGTGGTGCCATGTTTAACACTGGAGGTATTTTGTCCCGTGTTTGCGCCTTACATGCATTTTTCCGCTTTACTTATCTCTATTTACGAACCCAGAAGGAGAAACCAATATTGAGTTTGTTGATGCCGTTTTTGTGGAGGAATTATACAGTGTAGTCGCATGATTATGATAACATACTAGTCGTGGTGCTGCCATTGTGCGCTTTCACAGCTTAACACTTTGTATTTCCTCTGACAAACGTATACAGACGATCATCCATACATGGGCGATTGCAACATTTACCGCCTACTATTGTTGGTTATTTTTAAATAGACGCTAAGCCTGTATTCAAGAGTAAAATAACCATAGCCGAGTAACCAATAAGACTTATTTTTAAATTTACTAGTAAAGTGAAGTAATCCGCAATCAAGTTTGTTGTGGACATGTGACTATCACTGCAGGCGATAAAACAAAGACATGTTATCTTCAATAGGTCGTGGCAATAATTACTGTAATGGCCTAGTTCATTGGATTTAAAAGTAGCGTGAAAGTTTGGACTTCCTCCATGCTGGTTTTCATTGAAGGTGCCGTTACGTTCTGCGTGTTTCGGTACTGCACGAAGGAACACCGTGTCTAATGCTGCTTTGGAGAATAACTGTGATCGTGAAGAGTAAGATTGCGTCTTAGGAAGACGAGATCAATGCACAGAACTACTAGTCGTTTCTTAACGAAGCCTTATAAGTAGGGACTTGCAGTTCATTTGCCAAGACGAAAAAGCCATCTGAGTTCCCATTTTGCCTACGGCGAAGGATCGATACGCCGAACACAGCTCTAAGCAGATAAACTTGGAAGTGACCGCGAATCTGCAGTTGCAACGTTGACTGCTCATCGAACATTATGCACTTTTGCGACCACAACGTCGCAACTTTCCGTTACGATAATGCTTTTTTTCTGCAAACTTACACACACACACACAGTGAAAGTGGGACCAAACTCCACGGAATACACCTACTTCCCACAAAACAGCAGAACCTGCAGATTAAGTACCCAACGTCGAAAAAGCCAACTCTTAAAAAAACAATGTTGCCTTCGATGCGTTTTCCACAACACCAGTGACTGACCAAGCACTCTGTGGAGATTTTTTCCGCATCCAGTCGACGGATTTCATGCGTCAACATTTATATCCTGTATACTTAAGACAGTCTTTGACGAATTTTTATTAACCTCTGGGTAGAATGGCTGTTAACGATTTCCTGATCATTTCATAATTTTGCTTCCTAAGTACCACTTCCCCTTTAAATGATTGACCTACGGGGAATACTACAGCGCATCACCTGTACCACTTTAAACCGCTTTCATTTCCGAAGTTAGTAGGGAATTTAGAGAGCAATGGAAAGGTTTGTTGTATTATAGACTGTGAATACTGATCTCGCAGCCAAGTACACTCGGAGAATACGAGGCTAATCTTAGGAGAAAGAGCACAGGTGCGCAGCGTTCTGACATGAGTTAGCGGCACCAGCAACGCGACCACAAAGTACAGTACCATCGGGTCGGAGGAATGTGTGCCCTTACAAATAGTCAGTAGCCTGTTTTATTAGTTAAGCGTGCGGAGGGAATTATCTCAAAACCAATGACGTCACTTGTGTTGCCTGCTAAGAAGCGATTTCGAGTGAAATTTGAATTCAGCTAGGGTGAAGAATACATGAGTTACCTCGATCCTCTATGGCCGTCACTCACATGCTTAGTAAAGCTGTAAGGAAACGTGTTAGTGCAGATGCGACCACATGCAAAGGATGGATGCAGAAAGCCGTGGACATTGATGGCACTCACAATAAACTGCTTAAGGAGGCAATCGGAGAACAGGTCGTTGTAAAATAATAGGATTCCAATTCAACTCGAGCGCATACCCTCCGATGTTGGAGACATTTTCAACGGTAAAGAAAACCCACTTAGTTGCAAAATCACCCCACTTAAACGATACTAATGAAGAATTATACCCAAGAACTTATGAATCACCATCACTAAGATCATGCTGGTATACGTAGGAGGTGGTACAAGGATTAATTTGAGGCGTATTCGATAATTTAATCACCAGAAATTATTTAAATGGACTGGCACATGATCACAGGAGGACCAGAACGTATGATTTCCACAAACAGTACCAGGCCTCCCTTGTGCCCATGTTTTTTTAGCTTTTTTGCATATTACATAAGCCAACAGCTACAAGCGCAAGTGATGGAGATTGATACCCCATCTGGTAACATTGGATGCATGTTACCTTTTTTCCTGCAAAGCCAACCAATTAAAGGTTTCGCCACGTTGGCTGCAAATTTCGCCTAGTGCCACAGAAAAAAGGAACGAGAAACTTCACCAACTTCTCCAAAATCAATACTAGTTTTTTTTAAAACACAAATTCAAACTAAGCAGGCAGTTTAGGAATCTAGCGGCATTCGTGAGTCAATTTGTGGCCTAAATATGCGCTTTACTGACAACATTTTGCATTACATAATACTCAGTCTGGCGGTCGTTTGCACAGCTCTCCTCCTCCTGCTTGACAAGCTTAAAAACAGCGGCCTTTTTGGCAGCAAACTTGACGTTGTTGAAGAGGCCTTCAATGGTGGGAGGCCGCTTACCCGCAACATCGTCACCGTTGCATTGGCAACGTCGTGTGCCTTTTCGCCAAGCATACTGCTGGAAACCGTGTATTTGACCAAGGCCAATGTAATCTGCCTGATCATCGCCAGAGGCCTCAGTGTCCTCATGTGTGTTTTTCTGTGGAAGAAAATGCTTACACTGGGCCTAAACAGTATGGCGGCATTCATTTCGTTCCGGTTTAACAACAAATTTGCCCTTCTTTTTTACTACGTCAATTCAATACTGGGATTCATCTACCTTCTTTACATCTACAACGGGCCTCTGCTCTACAGCCTACCGGAATACATCAAATTAAATCGAGATGGATTTTTGCTGTTTGTTGGGTTCGTGTCGTTGTGCAGCTTCGGTGGCATGAGAATCGCCCTGCCGCTGTGTTCGATTCTCACTCTAATGGAACTCATTGCAGGGACTATGCTGATTGGAAGTACTAGAGGTCTAAACGACATCTCCAATACAACAGATGCCCGACTCTGCCACAGCAATAACCCTCTACACTCGCTTGCCACCACGTTTCCCCTCTTTCTTACGGTCCAGCCGTTGTACAGTTTGTATTTCAATTCTGGTACACAACTGAAGGGTACAACTGCAATGGTTGCAGGGCTCGGTGTTTACATATTGAAGAGCGTGTTTGCTCTCGTAGCTGCTGAGCGCGTCAGGAGAAACGCAATGAGCTTGAACATGCCAATTTTTCGCATGTTTCACGTAGTATTCCCCAGCATCAAGGGAAGTGATTCTTTAAACCGCCTGCGAGAAATCCACCCAAGTGACCAATCACCTAGTGATTACATCAATCTTGTGAGTGCCATGGGAGCACCAGGACCCTTTTTGTTCAACTGTTTGATCTACGGTCCTCTGGCAGCCTACTACTCATTACGTCTGTGCTTGCTTGTTGCAGAGTTGAGCGAGAAATTTGTTCCCCGTATCCTTATTACATCGGTAAAGTTAAGTGGAGACGAATTACAACGGATATACTTCTCCCTCTACTGCTTCATGGTATGCATTATCGTCGTGAACCTACTCACAGCGGACCGGTACATCCTAATGCCTGAATACCGTGCGATAACGCTATACGTCCCACACATGACAACTGTCCTCATGCAAGGAGTAACGGTAATGATCGTTTTGGGTGCGTTAGCCCCCAAAGTACGTCCAGTGCATATCCTGGCAGCCTGGTGTATAACCACACTCCTTTCTGTCGCTCCAATGTGCATTATTTTTTGGAAGACCCATCGCGATACGGTTTCCGATGCCATAAATGAATGGGAAGAACCGTCGCATGATAAATGGCTCTGTTATGGCATGTGGGCCAGTTTTGGAAGCCTCCTTATCAATGGTCTCCTGGCCGTCCTCCTAGTGAGTGTCATGGAAGGAAGAGCAGTTTGGGTTTCTGGCGAGACGGACACCAAACCCGGCGCATCAAGTTTCATTTACACAATGCGCAAGACCACGCTTTACAAGCGGGAGAAAGACGCTCAGGAGAAAGAAGAGGAGGAGGAGCAGAAAGAGTCTGAAAACATTTCCTCAGATTCAGCCAGCATTTCAAGTGACACAGAGAGTCTTAGTGATGAATTGAAGGCAGAGAAAAAAGTAGAGTAATGCGAAAACGATGCTGGTCGCTACCCCATTTAGATACTTCATTCATTAACTAAGTTCTGTTGCATTTTTACAAAAAAGCCCTCTTGGTACATAGAATCCTATTTGACACCTTACCTGGCACTTTAAAATAACGCCTCATTTTACAGCTCAAAGTACCAAAGTTGTATACAACCCTACAACTGGTATCTAAGCTAAGTTAATGAAAACTCCTCTAAATGGCTCTGGTCCTTTTGCAACCTAAAACGTCTTTGAAGCTTTGAACATTTTTTATCGAAGTCATTTGCCTTCTTTTAAAGATAAAGTTGACAAGGACATTCGTACCATTCTTTAGAAAAGCGCAACTTGATTTTACCGCTAATTTAATTTCCGACATTCGAGCAAGGCGACGGCAGAAGGCAGAAAGGAAGCAAAACGTGCTAATTATTATTTGCATAAATTTAAACACTTTTTTAGTGAAAAATAAACAAGGTCGAGGCAGCTAGTGAAAAAACACGGGAGCAATCAGAGGAAATGATAATTTGGTTGATTTTTGGAGTAATTTTCCACTATTTGGCATCTTTGTCGCATCGATAGTTAGACTGCTCGGATTTGGAAACTTAATTAGGCATTTTTGTTGCATTGTATTTATAAAATTTCGTACCATGCTGTAACTATAACAAAACACCACTGCTTTACGATATGAACTTTTCCAAGATTGTCAGCAAAAACGATTTAATTACAATAAGAGCGACCATAACTTAGCGTCGGGAACTGCGACCTTTCGGCGACCTGGACCTTCGATGACCTCCAGACCTGGAGCGGGATCTTCGACGTCGCGAACTTCCACCATAACGGCGTTTACTTCTATTGTACAGCTTTCGACACAGTTCACGCGAGATGGGCTTTAAATGCATAAAGTTGCAGAATCCACCACGGGTGCACTCACTAAATGAGGAAAAAATACGCCGAAATATTAGAACGTCCCATTTTAATAAGTGGTTAGTTATGTCCAGCCAACACAAAGACAAGTAAACGTGCCTTTAAATGCCCCAGGGCCACTCATTTGATGTGGAACACGCGAAGTTTATTAAGCAAGAAAAAGTCATTTCATTTGACTGAGACACACTTGTGGCCAGACCAATTGCAGAGACAAATACTCAATAGGGTAATCGACCAATGTACGAAAAGATATTGCGCTATCAGTCTTCAGGTTTAATAGGAGACAACAGCGTACTGTCAATCCTCATTAATAAAACTATCATAAATATACTGTTAGTTATAATTGAATAATATATACCAAGAAACTTTATACTAATTGACAAAATGACGTCAAAAGTGGCAGGAAGACATTGTATCAAAGTCAAAAGTACGTAAAAGAATTAACTGAACATACCCAAGTTCGTACTGTCGGCAGCACGCTTCACGGAAGTCAGTAACTGGTGATAGTTCCGCATGAACAGGTCGCCCCCCAAACCATCGCTGATTTAACATTTTGACGGCCTTCTCAGCATCCTCTTCTCGGCGAAACTTTTAAAAGCAGTTTAGTTAGGCAAAATATTTTTACCTTAATATACACGTTGCCTACAAGATGATCACCCAGGTTGTCGCAAACATTCATCTCCTCGATTTCACCGTACTTGGATTCACATTCAACAAATACCTCCTCAAAGAATTCGTCAAAAATTTCTTGAGCTTGCACTTCCGTCATATTGGCGACATTCTAAAATTGTCAGTCAAAACCAGTCTTACTTGGTTGGCGTTGTTATGCGGAGCAATATAGAGGTTTTGAAGTAAAATTGTCTAAAATACCCATGAGAAAATACAGAAAAATACCTGACTGAAGGTAGGTTTATTGTGAAGCCTGGAGCACTGTTCACCATGTCGACATGCCCCAATTTTAAAGTAGAAAGAACAGTTGACTCTAAGAAATTTGAAATTAAAACATAATCACGCCTACTTATCCTTCTCTGTTCCAAAAATTGAGGCCAAATATTCTGCCATCCGTAAGGGACCTCAACCACAAATTTCCCGCTCTATTTACGTTTAAGAAAACAAAGGTTGCTGACATTCCACTATCAAGTAATTTTGCAAAGTTGATAACAACATATAGACTTTGAACACTTCTGAAGCGATTTAAAATGACAAAGTGTGTATGGAGATTTTGATTCTGAATTTAACGAATTTATAGGAAAACGTTGATTATTTCCGGCTGAGAGAAATTGACAAAATCTAATTGATATTATCAGACCTAATTCAGTTCAACCATATTTTGTGACACTAACACACTTCTTTTTCTTGCAAAATGTTTCGTAACTTACTCGATATGAAATATCTTGATGAAAATGTTAATTTCTAGAAAATTATTCACAAGTGGACGTTTACAGTAAGCAGTTTAAAATGGTTTGTAACACGGATTTAAGATAAACGAATTTATTCATTTCCAAGACAGCGTGCATTAATTTTATCCATTTTCATCAAAAATTGGAGACTAAGTTTTTGACGAAGCGGTATTGGAAAAGGAAAAAGGAAATAAGAGTAAAGCTTGGGCACTTTGTGTTGTAAGTTCTAGTGTTGGTTTCGGTAATTTTTCGGATGATGGTAATTTTTACATTGGGTGATTGCGAAGATTTGCAAGCATCTCGATGCAAACTAAGATACGTAACTGATTGTGACAAGTGGTATCGCTGACTTCCTTGTCTACAACACCGGCATCTATAAGATTTCATTGGAACGTCTAACATATGGTTACGCTGAATTTTCAACTACTACTATGTACCAAACAATAATTACATCCATAATACAGCTTTTACGCATTTGTAGCAGCTGTTTGATCAATCTATCTTTTTGTGGCCATCGACATCTCATTTAGTAACACTTTCTGAATAATATTGTGTCTTTAATCAATAACGTTCCTTTTTTTGATAACGGCAGTTTATTCAGCCTCCTGCTTTTGGAAGATAAAAGCATCGTATTTCTGCGCTTTTCAACAGAGTCAACATGGAAATATCAAGCTTTTTTTCGCACACATATAATTTAAACACTCGCAACCACTAAGAATATTTTACATCAAATAATTTGCCTTAATAACCATGTTTATGCTTTGGAGATATCAGGTCAACCAAATTTAAAGCTGCCATATTATTTGACCCAGATTTGAATGAAACTTAGTAGATCCTTTTTTCTCATTCTAGATTTACACGAACTAACATTGGCCTAGTGAGTCATGAGAAACTCACATGGAGAAAAAAGGGCACAAGTTTATCGGTCAGCACATATAGTTTAAAATACTTCTTGTCATGCTCTTTATCGATGTCTCTGATAAAGTAGTATACACAGGGCTCGTGAAAAGCAATCATGAAAAACCAAATATTTCACGAACTTTCATGTTCTAGACTCAGTACAATCTAAAGTTTGTTTAATCCTTGCAACTGTAGATTTAAATCAGTGATTTTTTAACGTTAGCAAACTACTGGAAATTACAACTATTTCTTCAAAATTGGCAATTTTGACTTTTAAATTCTTATCTGCTGTGTTATGATGTCAAAGACGTATTTATAATTGAGTAATGGCCCCAGCAATTTTTCCGTAAACTCAGCTACCCTTCAGTAATTATTTCAATATGTGCCAGGAATCGAAGCTTACTGAGCAATTACAGGGATAATTGATACATAAAGTTTAATTTTAATTTTCGCCGCAGACAGCTATATCTAGTTCCGGACTCAGGCCATAAGTGTGAGTACTATGAAATTAAGGAGTAACCTCGAAGTACTAACCATTATTTTACGTTAAGACAAACTCTAAAAGCCAAAGATTGAATTTTTTTAAACATTTATTCAAAATACGTTATAATTGACAAGTAATTGGTGTCATTGGCGTCACTTTAACCTGGCCACCATTTTCTTTACTTCCTCAATATGAGGCCCAATAACAGAGTCAACCATTTCGCCATTCTTAAATGCCATGAAGGTTGGCATCGCGACGAGTGAATAATCTGCCGGAGCGTCCTGCAAGAAAAGAGTTAGCATAATATACACGTACAAAGTGACGTAATGAAATGATTTGCGTGTAGGACAATCAACAGTTCCACTATGAGAGACACAATACAAATTGCCAACCTGATTTTACTATGAGCAAATTCAATTCAAACTTTTACCATTCTAACTATGTTTCGCCCTCCAACAGAGTATTTTTTTTTCTGAAAAAAATCATGCATATTTGCTTCACGCAAATGCTTCAAAATTACTTGCGGGGGATAAAGACATCCAAAGTCCCTATACTGTAAGTAAAATGCCATAATGCGTATCTGAACACCACATACTTCCTTAGTGCCAGAAATTACTTCTGTTCCACATGGTACGCCATCAGAATTTAGGTTTCAATGTTTACTGTTTATACACTTAACAAGGCTTGTTTTGCATCCGCATCCATAATTGCACACTATTACATCCGTTCTCGTTTAATTTAAGCGCATCGGTCTTAGGTATCACCTTTATTGTAGTACGAAGGTCTTTTGTACTACAATTACAGACCAAACGCTCTTTTATTAGCTAAAAATTGGCTCATTGTAAAAAAATGAGGTCGCTACAGTTGTAGTCTTAAATAAATATGCTTATAAATATGTAAAAGAATATAAACCAGACAAATATTATGACATTGAAACAGAGCTACTTTTCAGCTACAAAATCTTCAAAATATGTGCTTGTCATTGGCATATGTTTGTTTCGAATTGAATAGTTTGCCGTTCATATTTGAGCATCTTCAAGATTAGCAGATAGAAGACCTCTTTTGTCACCCCAGTGAGATGATAATACAGCCAAATACGCTTTTTACTTGACCTAACCTTGTGTTGTTAATACAGGCTAAGTTGACGATCAGATCACATACGCAACTTGACTTGAATATTTGTCCCCGATTAACCTCACTGATCCATCAGGTCTCGTTTGAACAATAAGCACTGGGGCATTTATCACTACTTATTGATGTGAAGTAGTGAGCAAGTGGAATTTAACATGCAGGTAGCACTAACTTCGTAAATATCGATGTCAAGCTTTGCAAACTTCACTGCAGTCTCCTCCTCAGCAAGTTTCTCGTAAGCAGCCTTGACCGACTTGCAGGGCCCGCACCAGGTTGCAAAAAAGTCAACAACAACCAAACACTTGTGACTTAGTTCTTTGAGTTCCTCCATTTCTCCCTGAAAGCAAAGCGCGAAAAATTGATGCATTTTAATAGAATGAAATAATGAAACAAATTAACGCAGACGAGACTCCAGTAATCAACAGGTCCTGACTGTTAGAAATGGATAAAAGTTTAATTTCGCATCAGGAGTGAGATAATTATAAAAATGTTGCACGATAGTGGCGAGGAATCGTGTAGCATCATGGACCCATAATTTTCCAGTTCTATGAAACTTGTTTTTTATGGTAATGAAACTGCCACATGCAGCAGATGTAGTTGTAACAACTTCCTGATTTGTAGATGACTTTTTTCAACCTAGTGACAAATTGCATCCATATTTTGCATCCATGACTTCCTAACCTTAGTGACGCACCAGTTTGTGTTGTAGAAAGTCCTGTGTAGTTACCATTCATTATTTTCTAGATGCTTACAAACACTAATGCTGGGCTATTTAGTTATTGCTGTTCTTGATTCACCTTACTCACGGCATTTCTGAAGGAACGTCTCGTGGTTCGAATGGCTGAAATCTTGATAGTGAAGCGTTGCTGCTGACGCAATTACACTTATTGTACTAACATTAACGACTACCCTAGTGCAAACAACTCTGAATAAGAAATTTGTGCATGAATCATGAAAACAAAGCATGCAACAACTGGAAATATTGCTCTTTACAGTGACCAGAAGGGATTTAATTAGAGTAGTTGAAATCGATCAAAAGGCTGCACCTGCTGTTAAACATGTAACTTGAATCCAGGTTAGTGTGGTCGGCTAGAATCTCAAAGCCAAATGTGCTGCTTTCAATTTGTTGACTGTAAGGCGTTAGTACCCAAATCAACGCGCGTTCATTTCGATCTCCAAGATATTCACGAAAATTGTAAGTTGCGCCATGCAACCATATGCCTAAGGACATGTGGTAGTTTTCGGAAGCGCAAATAAATTTACCCTTAATTTCACTTGCTTTGGGTTAAGGGCAAAAATTTCTAAATTAAAGTTCAAAAACCCGGATTGTTTTGTATTGTAGATTGTTAAACTTAAGAAACCATCAAAATTACGATTTGACTTATTTTGATCAAAGATGCGAAAAATATCGGTCCGGAATATTGCCCACAATATTCTTAAATCGAACGAAACCGGCCAAAAATTGTTCTCCTCTTTGGCTAACCACAAATTCACAAGAGCAGTTACCACGGCACTTCACTCAAATACTCCACGCTACTAGTGACAGATCAGTTATGGGAACATTTTCAAGTATATTATAACCAAAAAAACCGACTGCATGTACTACAGCTGTCTTTCTTTTCATGAAATTAGAGATCAAATTACTACAGAATGCGTGAAAATGTTCATTAAAACGTAAATATGTGCCAAGAAAACACCACATTAATATCAAGCTTCTGCAAAAATATTTCGCTTAACTTGATTCCTCTTAAGAATTACCCAAAATGTGGAAGCCAAAATAGAAAAAATACAACTGGCCCTGCGAATATTAAAGTCAGATTGGAAAGGCAAGAAATGAAGGTGTACATTTGAAACGCCACAGTCTGAAAGGCAGGACGATTCAGTTTACCTTAAAGTTAGTCAATTGGCTAAACTCAGGTCAAAGCCTTGAGTATGATGGTGCATAGTGCCCTTCTTCAGAATGTTCGATTTCAAACATACAGGAAATACGACGGAAACCTTACCTCACTGTTTATTTCCATGACCACTTCAGGAGCTTCATTCTCCTGGGCTTCCATCTTAGACGTCGATGCAGCGTTAAATGAGTCGAGGTGTTAACTGACCACCTCGAGAACGTCGGTAACGCCCTGAGTAAATGACACTGGGTTGTGGACGAGCAATTAAACTTGGCATGGCATTAGTAACGACTAGCTAAGAGGTGTTTTGACTCAGAGATGCATGTGCAACCGCTTAAAAACTTTCCAACGTTTTAGGGTATTTCATCCGCAATCAAGGTGACGCCCATAGGTTTAAGCGCAATTTAATTGAATGCTTAAACTGCATATTCGAATAATTTATTTCCACTGACTAACACATAAACTGAAAGTGGAAATGGAATTTCCTTCGGTGTATCAACGTTCATCAAGGTGCACATAACTGTTGTGTACTGTATTTCTGTCTTTTTGCTCTGCTCATCATGCTTAACAAGTCGGTCTTCAAGCATATTGTGCTTTTTTGCAAGTCTTCAGGCGTCGATGATTTGCCATACAGTTAACACGATCAAGAATGAGTGACTATAATAGATGGAGGTTCATGTTATGTTGCTGATCGGGTACTTTTTACTTATTTTTATCTTTGTCGACGCAAGTCCATCCACTTCGGCAATAATCGCTGTCCACATTGCGTCTCCCATTTCTCATCATATCCTATGTTTGTGCGGACCCATTGTTTCTAAGTGTCTCCTTCGTGTGGGTTTGGGATTTGCTATGCACGCATTTAAGTTGATTGACGGAACAGACGATTTTGCCTTCCTATCTGTGTTTGAGTCTCTTAAGATGGTGGCCGTGGCGTGGGTTTAAAACCCTTGCCTGGGCCTCTATGACCAGTGTACAGAACAATATTTTGAGGTACTCTCTTTAGGAGGCAAACATCAAGCCCACTAATGAATTGTGCCACAAACAAGATGCCAGAAGTGTAACCTAAGTTCGCCTAAGCCCAACCTCAAACGACGGCAGAGAACAAGTTTACAGTTTTGGGTAATGCATTTTTCGGATCTCAGACAGTTACATTTTTGAGAAAATTTTTAAAGCGACTTGTGAATAGATGAATAACGGAGCTTCCTTTGTGTTTACTCGGTTTCCTTTATGCGCTTGTACTTTCGAATGAAGCCTCGTAGTTTGGTGATGTCACCTCCAACATGGGTGCCGATTTCCGCCTGGTTTTTAAAAAAGTAGAACGAGGGAACAGCGTAGAGGCTGTAGAACGGTATCACGTCCTGTACAATGAAGAAAAGTGTGTCGTGGTGATTTTCCGTTTTAAGTCACTTCACACAATCGGTTACACATGAGTTACGTATTGATACCTTGGGGTTATGAGCATTCATTCAGGCAAAATCTATTGCAACAATAAGAGTATCAACTAGTTTTTTTTTGGAATTTACCAACATTGGATTTTGAAACATCACTCTTTAGCAAATACCTTAGTATCATTTCATGTTCAGAGTAATGAGATGGAAATTAATGACTTTAACAGGATTGGTTCATGGAATGAAAAAAAAATTCGAAATGAATTTATCGGTTAAGTGAATTAATGTTGCAATACTCAGTCATGTTTGTAGCTTGCTATTGTTTCATTCTGACTACGCTACCTGTAAGCTGTTTGGCAGGTAAAGTTTAATAATTTTTTGATTTGTATGGTAAATAATAGAAAAAAAAATTAATTAAATAAAAAAATCAAGTGTTACTAACTCTGGTTAAACTTGTTGAAAGTAATAATCTTTTGCGGAAAGTCTTAATATTCCATGTAATAAAGATTTTTTAGTTAGGTTTTGAACAATCAAAAAAACGAACTCAAATGTAAGCCTGACATGCTGCTTTCAACCACACAATGTGGGCAAGGATGCCTAAATACCCTGCACTTTAAAACATGATATCTAATGCTTTTTACCTATCCTTATTCTTCCTTAGGCTACGAGATAATCCCCAAGGCAAAATTACTAATAAATAAATTAAAGTAACTCGTTGATTTACATACTTCAGCGTCGTCAACGTTGATAAGCACTATGATAACATTCTGGTCATCTTTTACCAGCGCTTCCAGAAACGGCTTCAATTCTTTGGAGTGTGGACACCATTCAGCATAAAAAATGAAAACAACCAATTGCTTGGTGTGCGAGCGCAAAAGGCTGAGACATTCTTCCTAGAAGGAAGCAGGAAAAGCATTGTAGCAAGCGTTGCAGGCTGAGCACTTTGTCAACGAAATTTCACATAAGAAACTATGACATCAGGTGCCGGGCTGGCATTTCACACACTTGCATGTAGCAACTACGGCACCCTATCGCAAAGTAGTTTTGGCAACCACGCGCTCGCCTTTAAAGATTATTCTGAAGGCAAATGCCCTAACTGCCTCTAGCAGCCAAACATGTCACTCAGCGAGTGTCAGCAAAGTTATTTACTTAAATTACATCCACAGGTCTACTGAGATTTAATGCACATTGGAGGTAAAAGTATGACGTGGTTTAATAATGTTGGTTTATAATGTTGAATCTGCGAAGAAGTCAGGGATTTGCTAATTTTGCTTCTCTGTGAAGTCCAGGTTAGGAAAGTAGATTTGCATTGATAACTGAACTTGAGTCACAGATGAGGATTTTTCATGTTTATTTTTGTTAAATGAATTTATTCTGGTCAAGTGTTAAGCTGAAAATCACCAAAGTATACTAAAATCAATTTTGAAGAGTGTAGGAAATGTTTTTTTTGGAGAAAGATATGTATTATGCAGCCCTAAAAAGCGTATTATCCTTTGAAACAATTAGGCGTAGCCATGGATACTTTCATAATATTGGCCTAACATCCATGACTTGAATATGACCAATCATGATTCTTTTGTAGCCACGCCTCTGTATTTACGCACATCAACCACTATTTTGTATTTTCACGATATTCGGCATTTTTACGCACGCAGCTCTTCTAAAAGGGAAAATTCGTGTACAATTTCTTGATGTCAGATGAAGCAAGAACATCGATTAATAATCCGGCTCGAGATTAATGTAAAATCAGTCGCTTTTTATGAAATTCATTAGTAAAACAGAGGTTATGCATAATTCTCGAAAAACAAGCTTTTAAGCTTTGTGACGCGGTCAGTTTTGTTAAATTCAATTTTTTAAGAAAAAACTAATTTATCCAGAAGTGATTGCAATCTTCCTTAGCTAGCCTTGAGGCTATGAGGCTCCGCTAAAAAAATGCCTTAACAGTAAGTAAAAAGCATCTTTTTCGACGAGTCAGGTCACAACATGGAGAGAGTGATGGTAGTGTGGAGTAGATTTGTTACAAGTCACCATAAATTGACTATTGCAAAACACAATACAATCAGTGTCATATTAACCGAGACTAAATTGCAATTATCTACTTGTCGAAATTCCTTCGGGAAATGTAGCTAACAATATGCATAGGTTAGAGGTATTCTGTTGGAGTCATACTAGCAACCATTAGGACTCTCGTAGTCACTGCTTATGTATTAGGGGTGTGGCGTGATTCTAGAGTGAGCCAAATGAAATGCTTAGTCATTTAAAAGGTCAAATGATGAGCCCTTTTAGATAAGTACACCCTGAGTATCCTAAAGAGCCCGTAAACCACTTTTAACACTGAAACTAAAGTCACCTCAATTTAATGAATGTGTTTGCTTCTCGTTAACTGAAATATTTTTGCGATTCTGACAAGGATATTCCTTCATATACACGGGGGAAATTTTATGACGATTATTCTCAACAGCAATGCCCCATTGTCACCGTTGCACTGTGTTACTAATGCCCTCTTCTTGTATTGAAGAAGGTTCAATTAAGGTAGACCATCGTGTGTGCGAACAAAGTTAATCAATGCTCACTTAACCAGATATTTGCCGTCAGTCAAAAGCATTTCGGTAAGCTATTATCCGGAAAAAGGTGCACTTCTTAAATATGAGGATATAATTTTGACTTATACATTAGTACCTAAAATGAAGCTTACAATTTTTAAAATTAGAAATATCGTTTCTATATCAAATTCCTAGTAAACTGTTTTCCCCACTAATCTACATTTGCCGACTACGAAACTACTATCTTGCCTGAAATATCATATTACATCACAGAGGGCAAAATCCCAAGTGTGTGCCACCGTAGGTAAAAAGAGTATATACTGTTATGCCAAACAATGCGGACTATTTAAATGCGTCATTTTCTACATTTGAATTTCACTTCATTAGACAGAGCAGTTTTTTTTAAAAACGAACCTGAAGGGGAAATATGAATGAGGAAAAATGCATTGTGTGCTGTGGCCTTTTCAAATATTCTTCCAAATCAGTTCCAATTTTACATGTATACTATATTCCAGGCTCTAGATTATTTGAGATAAAGGCGTTTATAGCTTAACTGGACTCGTGAGCAATGCGATTCGGGAAATTTTTGTAAGATACAAAGGCGAGTACAAAATTCACCCATTTAAATGAAACATAAAATAATCGCGGTGCATCGCACTGCGTAATGCATGTAAGAAAGCAATAAAACCGACCTTGGAAAAAGCATATTGAATGTGGTTTTGAAGGCTGAAACTGCTTCGTCTAGAACTTCGTTTAGGAGGCATCACAAGAGCTTTCCAGTAAGGCAAAATGTTTGCGCTTTTATAGAGACCAGGGAGGACATACTGGCATTGTTTCATAATTATAAGGCAGTAAACATTCAGTGGCGCCGATTTTACTGTCAAGGCAAAACTCGCCCACTGTACCCAGTTTGGTGTGTCTTTGGCTCCGTCTACTCTAGACTTAAACAAGAGTCATTATGTTTTTCCCACTTGAAATGGGGTTATTTAAATTATTTCAAGGTATATGGAGTTATTTAAAATTAGTTTATTTTTGAATGCGCTTTAATTTTTGAACTATAGGAGGAGAACTAGCTGCATTTGGGCCAATACTGAATCTAAATGAAGCGGTTACTGAACGTCTGTTTTTGTTTGTTTGCTTCTGTGTTTTTACTTAGTCCTTCAGGCACTTGGTACAGGCTCCGGAATGTTGGAATTATCTGATTTACCAAAACTAGAGCAAGTGCCCTGATTCCTTAATGGCTTCTGTCTGCTGCCGAAACTTTAACAAAATGACACACTAAACTTTAACCCAGGCCTTGGTCATTGGCTAAATGTTAACAGCAACGTTAATCAACACAAACCACACGAGGTGGCATTGGTGCTTGAACAATTTTCTCAAATTGACGTTATCCACAAGCCTCAACATATAAGTTACCACACCGATTTGGAGCTGTACAACCTTAAGGATCGGGTAGGTGGCATAACAACCGAATTGTTCGCTGACACGCCAAGACGATAGTTGCTGATTCACACGCTAGGCGTGTGTCCGAGTGTGCCTGTTTATAATGGGTCACAAATACCAATGAACTGCCCGGCTACGACTTTATTCATTAGCCTCAGCCGACCACCTCTTACAAACTCTATCTACCCTATTTAAGCCTAATTAAACTGCTGCCATGCAATGGTGAACTCGTTTGACCAGTGTATCTGCCCAAATGGCAACAAACTAATCCTGTTAATATTCTTAATAGACAGAAGTCACATTGTTCAGGCGAATGGGTGGCAAATTGTGCAGAATAATCTCATCAATCCAGTAGCTGTCGTTAATTTACATGTCTATTTAAATTTCACTGAAAAGTCTATCAACAATTTTCATCAAATTTTACAATCGGATTAATTAGCTTGGCATTATCCTACTGTCCATGGGGTCAGCTTAGCCAATGACAAAGACAGGTGGAACAATGTCTTTCAGGTATAAAGACAGGACACCAGACACATGGTCAAGACATCCATCCTTCATCCTGCTAATACTGTAAATGGCGGTGTTAATTTCACAGACATCAAAACATTAACCTCTTTGTAAATAGTCACTGAAATTCCAAAAAGTTTGATCAAATATGCAAACAGGAGCCTTTTGCAAGGTTTGTTGAAGATGAAAAATCAACTAGGAACTTCGATATTCAGCCGCCGAAATTGAGTCCCAAAACACAGCAGCCACGGATTTGAGTTGCTGATGTGAGCGTCTTTGGTGCTGGTGCTGGTCGTGACGAACATGGCCGAGGAAAACACAAAAACAACAGGCTCGCTACCACTTGCATCTCACAGTGACCTGCGTTATCGCAACTATGTACCATTTTAAAGAGCAGCCAGAAGAAAAAAAAATCGGCGACAGTTGGCTTGCATTCATTTATGGAAATGTTTTGTTCCCCAAGGAGGTACTTAGAGATCGTAAACGCACTGTTTAGCAAGGGTCTGTGAATATGGGCATCGATCAATTGTACTACAAGCATTGGCGTCAATTAAAATTTTTGTATTTGCTCTAGTTTAAATTAAGTTATTTGAAATTAAAAATATAGCCCCAACAGTAACTTGGTAATGCTGCCTGAATAGTAGCTTACTGCTTCATTTGCACACCTGACCCTTGTTGGCATCACAAAAAAGATATAGTGACTCTAAAAAGCTACAGTCAACGCATTTACAAAAAAATTTAAGCTGTCAGGTAAGAGAGTACAGAAAAAAGACATTTATGATAACACCTCGCAGAGTGTAATGCGGTACATCGTATCCTTCGTATAATGCAGGTTGCCACGCAACGCACTGCTAAGTATCTAATTTTTCAATCGATCAACGGCCTTGAGAATAACTAATGTCTAAAGAATAATGAACTTAATACAAATGAGCCTAGTGTTCCCAGTTCATTTCACCAATGAAGGACTCCAAAAATGAGTTATAATTGACTTTGAGCATTTAAAATCTAATTCATAGTTATCGCATTACTTATTATCTAGGTGGATTGCACCATTGACCAGTTGTAGCATTTTATCTCTATTCTGAAACAAAATAACAGCTAGTTAAAACATTTTTGTGGTAAAATCGTCAAGTTCTCATCGTTACACGCTTATTCCTGATCTCTTTTCCTTGTTTTACGGTAAAAATATGCATTTACAAGACACTGCACCTTAACGATCATTTTAAAATTAAATTCGTACTGAGCATAGGCATTGAAACGTCATCAGACAAATATTAAAAATTAACCCAATTTCCTTATTTTTAAAATGTTTAAGAAAAACTATTTGCATTTTCCGTGTCCCTTTGTTTTATGTTTAAATTGATCCCGAATCTTAACGATCTTTGTGACTTTTTGTGACTTTTTAACTTTTTGACCAGTGACTTCTGTGGTACTATAAATTCACAATTAATGGTGAAATCGGCACCTCGACGAAGTGTGCTTAGGCAGACTGGGTCACTTAGCAAGTTGTAAATGTAATGCCCCTGGGTTAGTAAATTGTTTATCACAAAAATTAACAAGCTTTACAGTTTATTGAGGCCATGGCATTCAGAGTAAATCGATTACGCATGAGGAATAATGTCGTAATGATAAGTCAGTCTGGGCTCTTTTAAGTACAGACATTGGTAAAAGGCAAGTTCCCCTAATCTGAATTGTTAGTGCAATCCAGAAAATAGACAAAGTGTGCCCCTTTTCCGTTCATTTGCCCACTTGCTAATTTGAGGACGGGTGTGCATAGTTTGCTTCATGCTTTGACCGGCTGGAGGATAAAACTCAATCCTAATGCATCGGTATATTTACTCCAACATGTCTCTTTCAAGGCTCATCTCATTTGCTGAAAACTCTCACACATGGCGGCAAATTTAACGAGTTCTGAGTCACATGAGGTAGTTCGTTAAATCAGGAGAGAGGTGTTTACTGTGCTTAAATTGTCTGCTTCGCAGGTTAACGATAAATTCAAGAATTGATGAAAAAGATTTCAATCCAGGGTCTATTTCACGTGCGAAATGTTTATTAGTGAAAATCCCTATGAGGGGTATATTGCAGTGATGTACAGATGAGGTGGGTGAAAGTTTTGAAGTATGGGGAAGAGATTCTGGAGCTACAAATTAGTCACGATCCTCAGTGCATGCGACGAAGACCTTTGAGTACTTCTCAACGTCTTTCTTGAGCTTGGATGTCTTGGTCGTTACTCGCCTTCCTAACTATAATAACAAATCACAGCCAACGTTAATTACTCCCAATCTCTGTCTATTAAACAAAACGGTCGATGTTTCAATCAACTTACGAGTGTGCGGTTACGGAAGAAGAGGAATGTCGGGCAGGCGGTAACGTTAAAGTCCCTAGCAAGTTGCTACGACAAATAAAAACGGTGGGATTTTAGATTCAAAGTTGTGTTTTCTCGAAATAAAATTCCGAGTGATTAACTCACAATGTTCCTGGTAGCGTCAACAGCAAGGATGACGAGCCTTCTGTAGTCTTTGCTGATTTCTTGGAGCGTCGCCATGAGGTTTTCGTAATCCTCATCGTTGAATTTGACGAAAGCCACCATGATGAGCCGGGACTTGGCATCGTCCAGACACTCCTCAAAGGACATATTGATCTACACATAGAAATCGTGAATTCGTTAGCTGCTTCCAAACTCGAATCCAATTGGCTATTGAGATGTTCAGATTCTTACCTCACAAAGGCCTGCCATCGTTTAGTTCTACTAAAGAAAAAAGGAAGATGGATCCAAATAAATCGAGTTTCTGTCAGAAAAACACTAACCTAATTTTAAGCGGCAAAATCTTACCGAGGATGCGCGTGTACTGTAAACTAGCTCTCTCTTGCTAAATTGATTAGCTTACGGTTTGGTGTGTATTTAAGTCACTCTCAACCACCTCAGGGAGGTCGTTGATTGCACATTGAAAGGGGAAGTCTGATTGGCTCTTAACTACCTACTCAAAATTATTACCTAACCACCCCCATTGTATGTGCTAGAGTAAGTATTGCGTGTGCGTGGCACCTTGCCTGCTTGGCTCACAGTGCTTTCAGTTAAGAATTAGTCACGGATCTAGGTGGACCAGAGCCCATGCCGAATGCGCCGTCAGCGGAGCTTATTTGTCTTTTGGTAGCATTCAAATCACGACAGAATCCAAACCGGGACTATGGAAACTTAGTTGCATATTCTTGGAAGAAGAAATACCTTTAAGATAATGCTGTGGTTTTGTTGATTAAAACTACTGCTTCAAGGACGTGTTATGTTAGGCGTAATTTTAGTGACCTCTTCACTCAAAATCAAAACACTCTGCGCCCTAATCATATCTAGAATGTGTAGACTGCATTGCTGAGGGCTCCTATTGTGTTGCTTCAGTCGTAACACAGAATATAATTGTGAAAAATTACTGATTCATTGTCCACTTGTCTTGCGATTGTGATGTTTTGAAGTCGCCTACGACCCCAAAATATATCAGTCTCTTGATAACTGCCTTTTAACGGCAGAACATTAGTTTATGCACCTGCATAAGTGGAAACTGCTATCTAGTTTCTACTACACTTTTATGAAGCAACTGGCTGGTTATTGGATAGATGTCTATAACAATATTGGCTAAAGGTGCATTCATATATCCAAAAAAGGCTAATATTACTGAAGAAAATTTTACGGGCCTGTGCTGAGTTAATCGAGGTTTTCCAAGAGCATTTTAACTCATTGAATATTTCAATGGACTAGAAAGTATTGGATAATTTAAAAAAAAACATTGTTTAAAGAAAACAAGGAGTGTTTGGACCACCTAACCTACCGATTCATTGTGCGCATTAAGAGTCAGGGTTTTTACATTCTTTAATGATTTTCAAAGGGTTGTCACATTTATTTGGTCCGAGTTTGTGCAGTTTCCAAATGTGTTAATTTAATAATTCAACTAAAGATACTACTTGTGCCAAATTATGATGTGACCTCAAGGAAAGTATACAGATTACAACAGATTCAAAATTATTTGTTTAACATAGTGTGCCACTGTTTGAAGCGAAATGGGTGTCTCGGAGAGTAGACAACCCCTAATGATATATTTTTAAATATGGATTAAATCGTTAGTAGGTTTTTCATAAGTAATTGCTAATCATTTCAAAAACCCCTTTATTACATTTAATAGTTTCTCAAGGCTTTTTATCCTGCAGTAAACTTAACAAGCTACTCCTTTAGGGTCAAATCAAGGATTGTAGAAAATGGATAATACCGATTTTATGCCGCTAACATTAACTTTTACGCTAAAAGGGAAACCAAGTAATTTTATTATGCTAGGGCTCTTCATAATAGCTCTTCCCCGAAAACAGTGGAGCAGACTGAACACCTTGCTTTGAAATTTTTAAAGAGGGTTCAATCGATTTCTAGTTGAGTAGTGCGCTGTATCAAGACAGCATGAATTTCCCTAGGAATAAAATGGTACTTAAACTACGAAGCCCTAATCCTTTTTTGTTACTAAGAGAGATTAAAAGTTAGGGAGACAAGGCGTCGGTTCTTATAGGAATGCTTGGAATTCAACCTCTGAACGAATGTCGCCATGTAAATGGACTTCAAGGTAACTAATTGAAATTTCGTTTGGAAATGTTTCGTTAGAATGCGCGTGTGCTAATCGGTAAGGATGCTTTGCTAGTTCACGGGTGATTGGCGTTACCACGCAACTGTTCAATTTTGATCTAAAAACAACTGAGTTACCTGTTGTCCTTAAGATTCAACGGCTTTTCAAGAGAGTCATTTTAAAGTCTTATTTGTTAAAACAGTCTTAGTAGAAGCCTTCTGATTGCCCTTGTTGACATTTGACAATTGTCGCGCCAGCTCTAAGTAGATTCGAATCGAGTTGATCGCAGCCGTCAAGCACATAGACTCCAAACTACCTACTTTGAGGCATGGCCACTTTTAGGTTTCCGGGTTGACCAACTGATTGTTTTTCACCCTCTGAATCTTCTGCTTAAAAAACTCCTGTTTTGTGATCTCAGGTAAAGACGTTAAACGTATAGTTAATAGGAATAAATGAGAACATGAATCAAACACAGCCTGTCAATTTTGTGTTTTTAGCGATTTATGGATGATATAGTAAGCCACGTGGTCAGGTTTGTGGCGTGGGTTAATATATTTATGGCTATTGCAACTATTCTTAGGAATCGCATTTTAGGAAATAAAGTTGCACACAATGCTTAAACCTGTTTCGTTTCTAAATCTTATTTGTATCTGCCATTTATGTATTAATTCCGCACCAGATAAACCGTTTCTTCTGAGTATTCATTAAACCTTGTCCGTTGTAAATGATCAATTGGGGGCTTTTCTTAAATATCGAATGGTGTGAAAGGCTCATTACCCCACCGACGAAATACGTTGTATATGGTCGATACCTTAAGCCGCGACTTGGCCGATCTCATCCGCTGCATTCACGATTAGTACATATAACCAATTATCGTACGTGACTGGTAGCTATCTAATTGAGTTTTTCATTTGGAAAATGACATCTCTTTCACCGTCATAAATCTGTGCATTGTATTTTTAGTTTACAACGGCAACTCGGTTGATTAAACCCTTTTCTATACCTAATATTTGCCTATTTTATAAAAAGCGAAATCTAACTTGTTAAGTTGATGTCAAGCCAATTTTGTTTCAACTGCGCGATTTTTGGTTAGGTGTAAATTTGCCAAACGAAGGTCACGTCTATATGCGTAGGTGGCTTGCATTACACACCACACTCACCTTTATGATCGATCGCAGTCACACCTGAAATTTTCCATCAGTCAAGAAGGACACCTCATCTGCATTTGTAACCGTAGTCACACTCTCCTTGTTAAAATAAATGACCATATTTGTAAGTGATTTCCAATAACGTTGGTAGCTCACTGTGACGCACTTAGAAACGTTAAACTTACGAAAGGATGAAAAGTAAGAAGACCGTTGCATTTTACTTAAGCAAACGATCTCAACTTCTTATGCTTTCAAACCAAGAATTTCAAGCTGACTGAAAACTGCATTCAATTATGTATAAGATTGACGCATCGATCTTGGGTCGGATTTATCAAAACGCGCCATTTAGTTCATTCATTTGTAATTTAATCAGTCCCTATAAAGGCTATCTATGGAGAAACCGTAAAACAGGCTGCTGAATCATATTACGTTGTGGAAACACGTTCTACAATAAGCACCAGAACAAGTAATGCGTGTTTAAAATTCCTCTTTAAACATCACTCAAGAGTTTTGTCACTGTTAAGAGGCATTTTGTGCTAATCATTTATGATGCATTCATTATTTACCAGTAAATAGCTTCCGCCTATTGTGGCGGCATAGTTTTCAATTCAAGCATATGTGCGTTGTATGCACTAGCTATCACTTAAGGTATTTTATTATTCGAAAATATTGATTATTTGAGTATTTGTGTAATCAACTACTGATTGGAATACAGTTTTCTAATCATCTATTTGATCATGTGATTTTAGATTAATGATTCGAATGCCTATTGTGTTTTAAACAAAAGCATGAATTTTATTTAAACAAAATATTTAGTCTTGGGAAGGCTGTTTTAAAACACAGATATGACCTGTCATTACGTTTATGAAGTTTAGAAAGGCGCGTTTATTACAGCTTTTACCAAATCCTATATGGTATCCTCGAAATCCAAAAACGTATAGCAAAAACCGATGAATGTGGGCAATTCTTGTGTTAACTTCAATTGGTGATTTTTAAAACCAGTGCTGTTTAACCTACACTATTTTAAAAGTATTTTTTCTATCGATTTCTTAGCAAGGAGGTCCCATAAAATTGCCAAATTGGAGGCTTTTTGCATCTCGTTTGGCTGGATTTCAGTTCTTCCGAGGTTTGTTTCATCAGAGTAATCGGTTAAGGCTCATGGCTTTGCCAGCCGAAAATAATTTGTGGCGAGCCTATGTCTCTTCTCAATGAAAACAAATTTTGCCTTTTCAGCACACGAAAACACTAACAATGCAAAATTGGTTGGTGATTTCCATGAGTACCGCTGACCTTGAATTTTAACATAGACATATCACTTCCCGAATAATCTAAAGCAAATTGCGACTCGTGCGTTTAAACGTGGTTAAAATGGGTCTTCAAACAAAAGTCATGTTAAGTAGCATTAATCTAGGCCTGCCCACTTGCAACAGACTAAATAAGAGTGTTCGTTTGCATTGGATTCAAAACTTATGCTTGCCAAAGCATTGCATCAAAGCCGTTGGACGTGATGACATCAGTTCCCATTATAATTTCTCAGTTACCCGTCAGTTCCAGGTTATGAATTGGTAAGACATGTTTTCAAGTGTAATGGTATTGCGACTTAAGAAGGTTTTTCGCTGCTAAGGCCACGATCACTTAAAATGATCTAGTAAACACACTAAATGGCTAATGTGACTTAAACTTTTCTCTAAAGGAGTTGAAGTAAATTGACTTTTCTTATCACGCAAATTCATTTAAGTCTCACTAACAAGTCAGTTCTCAGTGCATCTCTCTCTTCACCAGGCAGTCAAAAAGGCATTTGGCACTGAGGCGGCCCTTGGTAGAGCAAGAGAAAGAAGCACTCAAAATTGATCCCCTTACTCCTTGATGTATGTGTATGTGTGTGCGTGCGAATGAGTGTATAGACTTTTGGCAAAGGTGCGGTTTTTTCGCTCCTGTCTATTAGCTTCCACAACGCTCGGGGTAAGTGATAATTTGGCGTGACACGTGTC